CCGGGAAGCGGTCCCGGAACAGCGACGCCAAGAGCCCTTCATCCTCCACCTCGCCGAGAGCCGCTGCCGTGGCCGTGGCTGACGAAGAGGTAATCGCCGTCGCCGCCATTTTCCCAGGAGCAACGTCACTTCCCCTCCTGACCACCGAGGGCGCAAACTCTATTTAGGACAGGAAGAAACAGGCACATTTCCGGTCTCTATGTTTTCTCATCCGGCCGGCTTGCTTTCCTCGGCGGTCGTTCAGGCTATTGGGCACTAGCGAGAGGAAGGCTTGGTGTGGGGCTAGAGAGGCAGGCTTTGGGGTTGCCTGGGAGCTGCGGGGCAGCGAGTTCCGTTTCCGGTTGCCGAGGCACGAGGATCTGGTGTTCTAACCCAGTGGGAAAATGCGGCCTTTGACTGAAGAGGAGACCCGTGTCATGTTTGAGAAGATCGCGAAATAGTAGGAGCGCGCGGGGCGGACGAGGATGTGTGTGTGTGTGTGTGTGTGTGTGTGTGTGTGTGTGTGTGTTGACTAGTGGTGGAGTGGGGACGCGGTGCCGTCCTCGGGCGTGGCCTCCAGTCCTCCTTTTGCCCTCAGCATCGGGGAGAATCTTCAGCTGCTGGTGGACCGGCCCGACGGCACCTACTGTTTCCGGCTGCACAACGACCGGGTGTACTATGTGAGGTGAGGCAGGGAGCAAGCAGCATGGACCTGGGGGAGGGAGTCATGGGTCCCACCAGCCTCCTCCATCCGCAACCTTGCTCCCCCTTTAGTGAGAAGATTATGAAGCTGGCCGCCAATATCTCTGGGGACAAGCTGGTGTCTCTAGGGACCTGCTTCGGAAAATTCACTAAGACCCACAAGTTTCGGTTGCACGTCACAGCCCTGGATTACCTTGCCCCTTATGCCAAGGTTTGTGGGGTGGTTTCCATTCCGCCACGGGCGATGAAGTTAAGGATGAGGCCGATTATCAGGCAGCTTCACTCACAGTCTCTGTCAATGTGCTTGGGGGAGTGTCAGCACGTGGAGATGTGCAGAAGCCTTGCAGCTTGGGCATGGTCAAGGATATGGCGTGGGAGTGCTGTGTGGCTGCGTAGTGGTAGTTTTCTCCAGCAAAATAGAAAAGCCTATGCAGACCCAGCTCGAGATTAGAAAGCAAATAAGTGGCTGCAGTGAGGACACCGGGATTCAGAAAAAGAGCTGTTAACCTGGCCATGGAAGATAATCCTTGTAGAGTTGAGAACCTTTTGCATTTCTTTTAATTTCTTTTTCTTTCTTTTCTTCTTTCTGACACAATTCACAATGTCGCCCAGGCTGGAGTGCAGCGGCATCTTATTTATCTGTATTTCTTTGCATTTTTTGCATTTCTCACTCATTTCGGCTCACTGCAGCCTCCGCCCTCCGGATTCCAGCGATTCTCGTGCCTCAGCCCGCTGTGTACCTGGGGTTACAGGGGTGCGCGACCATGCCTGGCTGATTTTTTTGTGTTTTTAGTAGAGACAGGGTTTTGCCATGTTGGCCAGGCTGGTCTCGAACTTCTGGCCTCAAGTGATCCACCTGCCTCAGCCTCCCAAAGTGCTGGGATTACAAGCATGAGCCACTGTGCGAGGCAACTTTCTGCTTTTCTGTTCTGGAGATGGACAGTTTGAGGAAAACGTGTGTCTCTCTGTTTCCCATAAAATTATTTCAGAAAATTATCCACAGATCCAGCAGCTAGCTTGTCTGCAGGGGTAGAAATCGTAATGTTTTTGTGTCTCTTGGATTTTAATTCTCTTTCTTATAGTATAAAGTGTGGATAAAGCCTGGTGCAGAGCAATCCTTCCTTTATGGGAACCATGTGTTGAAATCTGGTCTGGGTCGAATCACCGAAAATACTTCTCAGTACCAGGGCGTGGTGGTATACTCCATGGCAGATGTCCCTTTGGTGAGTAAAGATGGTTAGCTGTTACAAAAATCAAGTACTCTTATAACTCAATCAAGACAGTTGCAGGTGGGCAAAAAAAAAAAAAAAATCAAGTACTCTTTTATTCAAGAAGGATATGTTTTTAATCTGTGTGCTTGAGAGACTAAATTCTCAGCATCTTTTGAATTCCAGAAAGACCAGAACTGTATTTTTTCCATCTTTGTTATTTCTAGCCCTCAGTATGAGCATATTGAATGACTTCAGTGAATTAGTGTCTCTTCTTTTGAATCCCAGGGTTTTGGGGTGGCAGCAAAATCTACACAAGACTGCAGAAAAGTAGACCCCATGGCGATTGTGGTGTTTCATCAAGCAGACATTGGGGAATATGTGCGGCATGAAGAGACACTGACTTAAAACGAACTCATTGCAAGGACAGACAGCTGTGTGGAAGGGCCGAGCTTTGTTTCCTGTGTTTGTGTAGACTCTGTCATCATGTTGAATTTTGTCATCACTCTGACCTCTTCAGGGACTTCTTAGTTTACTGTATTCTCTATCACTGACAAATGCAGGCTGGAATCATACTATATACTGAGATGGCTCAAAAATGGGGTTTCAGATCTTTGTGTTTGTGACAAAATAGAATACTCTGTTTCATGTTCAAATCAGAGGGCTTCTTGTTCTGAGAAATAGGTTGAAAATCTTTGGAACTAGGAACAAGAATAACATTGTTATCTGTGATAACACTTTGTTTTCTAAACTCATGATAAGAACACATGGATTTTCTTTTTCATTAATATGAAAGATAGACATTGCCATATCAGAACAGTAGGCCACCTGTGGGGTTTTACAAATGAAATTTGGCTAAAATAATAAGAGCAATTTGTTCAGCTGTTTTTCTATACACTAAGTACTGTGCGGTATGGAAGAAAAATGGGTTCAAATCCCAGTTCTGCCAGCTACCAGCTTTATGGCCTTGAATGAGTCATTCAGCTTTTTTTTTTTTTTTAATTAATTTTTTTTAAAGGCGGGGTTTCACTGTGTTGGTCAGGGTGGTCTTGAACTCCTGACCTCAAGTGATCCACCCACCTTGGCCTCCAAAGTGCTTGGATTACAGGCGTGAGCCACCATGCCTGGCCATCATTCAGCATTAATAAGGTTCATTTTCTTCTGTTTAAAAAGACACAAAATTTAAAAAACAGCTTTGGCCATCTACCTGAGAATTATTAGAAATCATGATTGTAGGCTGGGTGCGGTAGCTCACGCTTGTAATCTAAGCATTTTGGAAGGCCAAGGCAGGTAGATGATCACTTGAGGAGTTCGAGACCAGCCAGGCCAACATGGTGAAACCTCATCTCTAGTGAAAATACAAAAAAATTAGCCAGGTGTGGTGGCGCATGCCTGTAGTCCTAGCTACTTGGGAGGCTGAGGCAGGAGAATGGCAGTAACCTGGGAGGCAGAGGTTGCAGTGAGCCAAGATCATGCCATTGCACTCCAGCCTGAGCAACAGAGCGAGATGCTGTCTCAAACAAACAAACAAAAGAAAGCAATCATGATTGTAAAATGTCTAGTATTGTGCCTGGAAAATGATACGCATGGAATAAATGGTAAGAATTATTTTTATATTATATATATATTATGTATTCCTGTTAAGTGTAGAGTTTTATGAGTATAATTTTATTATATTATCTTCTTTTTTACAAGCTGTTTTCTCAGTATTTTTTCTTGGATGGGATGATCCTAGGCTGGAATGTTTTTTTCATCACTGTGATTTTATAAAACATAATATTTTCTATGAACCTTTACTTACTTGACTGGATTGGACTAAAGACTACCTGTATTGCAAAACTACACTATTTCTTTAATGAATATACTGCTTAATTTCCAAAGGTGAAGTCTTTAAAAATAAAACATTACCAACTCCTGCTTTTACATGTAAGCAAACTTGATTTTGGCCTGTCTTTTTCAACTCTTTTCCCATCTAAGGTGTTCTGTTAACCTCTAAGCAGACTCGGTGAAAGCTAAGGGACTGCTATATGATAAACAGTATTTTGATACATACATTTCATACATACTTCAGAACTTTTTCATTGTTATTTTTTATTGCCATTTTGCCTTTTTAGATGTGTGCAGCAGACTAAAACATTTATGAGATAAATTGATTTTTGTCCCACAGTGTTACAAAGCTGATTCCACTAAGCTTCTGCCCCAGAAGAAAAGAGCCAGGGTGCTGTAGTCAGCTTAGCTTAGCATCTTGGCTTCTTTGTGTCTGTAGCTGTTGGAACATTGAAGAGACGCTTCAAGAAATACAGTTGCAGGATCCCAGAAAGAATAATAACGAGGCTCTGGGCTGTCGACCACCAGTTCACATAATGATAGTTTGACTGGAGAAGGAAAAAGTCAGCCATTTTCCTCATCCGGGCAAAGTTGTAGTATCGCCACATGTGAAAGATATTGTTCTGTACCTTTTGTGTGCTGTCCTATGAGAGAGAAAATTTTAAAAGGGATTCTTCCAAACCCCCATCTAGCCTCACCTGGGTGCTCACCAGCACTAACCTAAGTTATCTGGATGTCAAATAATTTACCCATATGATTTTAAGATGTATAATACTATTATAGTTATTGATAAATGTTGTGTTTGCTATGTATAAAATATGGTCTGGATTTTAGTTTAAAATTTTTGTTTCTGTTTTTTTTTTTGAGACGGAGTTTCACTCATGTTACCCAGGCTGGAGTGCAATGGCGCGATCTCGGCTCACCGCAACCTCCGCCTCCTGGGTTCAGGCAATTCTCCTGCCTCAGCCTCCTGGGTAGCTGGGATTACAGGCATACACCACCATGCCCAGCTAATTTTTTGTATTTTAGTAGAGACGGGGTTTCACCATGTTGACCAGGATGGTCTCGATCTCTTGACCTCGTGATCCACCCACCTCGGCCTCCCAAAGTGCTGGGATTACAGGCTTGAGCCACCGCGCCCGGCTTTAATTTTTATTTTTAAAAAGATGGGGTTTCACCATGTTGGTCAGGCTGGTCTTGAACTCCCAACCTCAGGTGATCTGCCCGCCTTGGCCTCCAAAGTGCTTGGATTACAGACGTGAGCCACCACGCCCAGCCAAAAGATTGAGGTTTTTAATAATACCGTCTTTCAGTGGGTTTGGAGAGCTTTAGGTGACTATTAGGTGGAAGGTGTCAGGACGAGGACTATCAGTGGAGGGGTATGAGCACCATCTTGGCACTGTATTCATTCATTTACATCTTTGCACACACACATGCTGTCGTTTGCTCTGAGCTGCAGCATTGGGCAGAGATAAGTGTTTATAGGAGCAATTTGACGTAAGAGAACAATCTCCCTAGCCAAATTTTTGTCAGTGTATTCACAAAGTTATAAACTTACCCAGTATTATATCCCCAATAAGAAAGAACTAAAAAATGACAGCCCTAAGGAAGGGTGGAAAGACCTCTTCTGAGATGGCAGATTCTATGTAGCACCCATGAAGACGGTCTGGTAAGCCACTGAGTTTATGAGGTGAAAGCAAAACTTCCTCCTGGAAGTATCATGGCAGTTCTATTATGAATATCTATGTGTGGCTCTGAAATGAACCTAAATGTGACTTGTGCAGTTAATCATTACCCCAGTGGTTGTCTCAACGACTTGATTCCCCTAGGCTGCGAGCAGTTCATCTGGAAAGGAGGCTCCAGAAAGCAGCATGTCCCTCTTGCTCTTTGGGGCTGGGCTGGTGGTTTTGAATCTGGTGACGTCTGCCAGGAGCCAGAAGACAGAACCTCTGAGTGGCTCTGGGGACCAGCCACCCTTCCGTGGAGCTGATCGATATGACTTTGCCATCATGATCCCTCCAGGAGGCATGGAATGCTTTTGGCAATTTGCCCACCAGACTGGATACTTCTATTTCAGTTACGAGGTATGTGGGTGACTGGCCATACTGGGGGCTTTTTTTTCCTCCTTTACTCATAAAGTGGGTCAGGTTTTAGATGAAAACAGTCAGGTTGTCTTTATCATGCTGTGATTCCCTACCTGTTAATGAAATGGAACTGCAGTTAGAGGGAAACTCCAGATGGGTGAATAATCAACAGGAGCTAAAACATATGGTTTGGCTTCTCACATAAGGGGCCATGCTCAAAGCCATGGGGCAGACGGGTTGCCTCTTCCTGAAGAGGTCATCATTACATGTACTTGGATTTGTGGGTAAGAGGGGAGAGAATACATTTTTAAAATATTAAAATGGATATGGTGCTTTGGAGACTGATCCAGAGATTTCAAAGAAAGCTACTTCATGGCCGGGCATGGGGGCTCACACCGGTAATTCCAGCACTTAGGAGGTCAAGGAGGGTGGATCACCCGAGGTCAGGAGTTTGAGACCAGCCTGGCCAACATGATGAAACCCTATCTCTACTAAAAATAACAAAAATTAGCTGGGCATGGTGGCAGGCACCTGTTATCCCAAGGACATGGGAGGCTGAGGCAGAAGAATCGCTTGAACCCAGGAGGCGGAGGTTGCAGTGAGCTGAGATCTCGCCATTGCACTCTGGCCTGGGCAACAAGAGCAAAACTCTGTCTCAAAAAAAAAAAAAAAAAAGCCACTTCAGTTTATGAGGGTGAGGGAGTAAAGACTCTGCTGCCGCCTTTAGGACAAATTCTGGCAAATTGGAGAATTGCTAGCTCAAGTTTTTTCTATTCAGTCAGACATCCTCTTTTTTTTCTTTTTTAGGAAGGTAATTGTTTTCAAGTTACCTGTTCATAGGTCAAGGACTTTTATCCATTCTATGTTCTTATACATGCTGTCCCAGGATGGTGAGCTCAATATTAAAGTTAGAGGCTGTTCATTTCCTTTGTTCTTTATCTTAAAAGTCTGTTAACTTACTAATTTTTGTTTACATAGTAATAGACTATGTTGATCTTATTCCACTCCACTGTAACAACATTTATTTTAAATAAACTTATCAGAGCCTTTTCTTACCTCTGAATTTATATTAGAACAGCAGCCACTACTCAGCTCATCGTGGCCTGGGCTAATCAAGATCTAACTTGGGAGCGAGTGTCCACGGAGTGCTTGCTGTAGGTGTGCACTGCCAAGCAGCAAATGCCCAAATCTGGGACACCTTCGGGGAGCTCAACCACCAAGCAACTTCATTCAAGAATTCTACAGCCAGGCCGGGTGCGGTGGCTCACACCTGTAATTCCAGCACTTTGGAAGGCTGAGGCAGGCGGATCAGCTGAGGTCAGGAGTTTGAGACCATCCCAGGCAATATGGCAAAACCCTGTCTCTACTAAAAATACAAAACTTAGCTGGGCTTGGTGGCTCGTGCCTGTAATCCCAGCTTACTTGAGTGATGGAGGTGGGAGAATATTGCTTGAACTTGGGAGATGGGGGTTGTACTGAGCCAGGATCGAGCCACTGCACTCCAGCCTGGGTGACAGGGTGACACTGTCTCAAAAAAAAAAAAAAAAAAAACCTCTAAACCCAAAATTGTCCTTTTTTTTTTTTTTTTTTAAGACAGAGTCTTCCTCTGCCACTGAGACTGGAGTGCAGTGGCATGATCTTGGCTCACTGCAACTTCCACCTCCCAGGTTCAAGTGATTTTCCTGCCTCAGCCTCCTGAGTAGCTGGGATTACAGTCACACACCACCATGCCCGGCTAATTTTTGTATTATTATTATTATTTTTTTTTTTGTAGAGCCGGAGTCTTGCTCTGTTGTCCAGGCTGGAGTGCAATGGTGTGATTTCTGCTCACTGCAACCTCCGCCTCCCGGGTTCAAGCAATTCTCCTGCCTCAGCCACCCAAGTAGCTGGGACTACAGGCACATGCTGCCATGCCCAGCTAATTTATTTTGTATTTTAGTAGAGACGAGGTTTCACCGAATTGCCCAGGCTGGTCTGGAACTCCTGAGATCAGGCAATCCACCTGCCTCGGCCTCCCAAAGTGCTAGGATTACAAGTGTGAGCCACCACGCTGGCCAATTTTTGTATTTTTTTAGTAGAGATGGGGTTTCACCATGTTGGCCAGGCTGTTCTTGAACTCTTGACATTGCAATCCATCTGCCTCGGCCTCCCAAAATGCTGGGATTACAGGTGTGAGCCACCATGCCCGGCCCAAATCATTCACTTCAGCTCTGTGGTCCGAGCAAGACATGTCTCCTTCTGTACAGGGGTGCTGGTGGCATTCTGGGTAGTTCTTTGTCCTACTGTACTGTTTGTAACGTTGCAGACATTCAGCATTGCTGTGTGTCCTCCCCTTAACACCATCACTGTGACACCTCAGAATCCTCCAGTCAATTCCAAAACCCAACAGGGGGTTGGGCAGTCCCACCCCAGATGAGACCCCTGTGCTGATGACTGTGGGACATCAATCTTACCACTCAGCTGGCTTCCTCTTGATGTAGCAGGGGTTTTGCTCCCTATTTAATGTGTCTTGGCAGGTTCAGCGGACAGTGGGGATGTCACATGACCGGCATGTTGCTGCCACTGCACACAACCCACAGGGATTTCTCATAGACACTTCCCAGGATGTTCGGGGCCAGATTAACTTCTCCACCCAAGAGACAGGTCTGTTTTCATGACCATGGCTATCATAATAATCATAAGATCCTATAAAATTAGGGAAATAACGAGGACTTGTACAGAGATGTTTAAACAGTAGGAAAAAAAAATCAGCCTTTAACACCAAAAACCAGTGTTCCTAGAGACTGCTGACCTCCAAGGATGCCAAGTGGCAGTCTACTGATAATTTGGGGGCAGCATCTCCAGGTGAGCAGCTCAATCTTTTTTTTCTTTTTTTTTTTTTTTAGGGGAGGAGGGAAGAGAGGAAGGAGGGGAGAGGAAGGGAGGCCAGCAGTTCACTTTTAGCTCATTGTCTCCAATTGATCAGATTCTGGGAAAGTGACCAAAAAACAGAGACCCATTTATAATATAGAATTCCAATTAACCAGTGTATTATAGGGAAGCATTTCTTTCCAGTCATCAGAATATTTGAGTCAGTTACTAAAAGCAGATGCAGAACAAAAGAAAATGCATGGCCGGCCAGGCGTGACGGATCACCCCTGTAATCCCAGCACTTTGGGAGGCTGAGGCGGGCGGATCACCTGAGGTCGGGAGTTCAAGACCATCCTGGTCAACATGGAGAAACCCCATCTCTACTAAAATTACAGAATTAGCAGGGCGTGGTGGTGCATGCCTGCAATCCCAGATACTCAGGAGGCTGAGGCAGGAGAATCACTTGAAACCAGGAGGTGGAGGTTCTAATGAGCCAAGATCGAGCCATTGTACTCCAGCCTGGGAAACAAGAGCGAAACACCATCTCAAAAAACAAAAAAAAAAAAAAGAAAATGCATGGCCATGTGAGATATCGACACTCCACAACAAAGCACTACTCCAGCCAGGTCAAGCCTGTCCCGCTTTGGACAACACCAGTGTCTTAAATGCCCCCTTTACTAGCCAGCTGCACTAAAAAAGATGTTTTCTCAATAGGGGCATCAGACAGTCCTTCACCGTGAAGCACAGGATATGTATCAGTGTTAAAAGATCTTGAACAGGCCGGGTGCGGTGGCTCGTGCTTGTAATCCCACCACTTTGGGAGGCCAAGGTGGGCGAGATCACGCCATTGTATTCCAGCCTGGGCAACAAGAGCAAAACTCCATCTCAAAAAAAAAAAAAAAAAAAGGGAAAAGAAAATAAATGCATGGCTATGTGAGGTATCACCTGAGGTCAGGAATCCAAGACTAGTTTGACCAATATGGTGAAATCTCGTCTTTACTAAAAATACAAAAATTAGCTGGGCGTGGTGGTGGGCACCTGTAATCCCAGCTACTTGGGAGGCTGAGGCAGGAGAATCGCTTGAACCCAGGAGGCAGAGGCTACCGTGAGCTGAGATCACGCCACTGCATTGCAGCCTGGGTGGCAGAGCAAGACTCCATCTCAAAAAAAATTTGGAACATCTTTGGGCACTACATGCCTGTAGTACCTTTCTATCATCTTTTTTTTTTTTTTTTTTTTTTT